TATGTATATAAAATACATATATATATTTGTCTTAATTGTTTTCCAGGATATTTTGACTTAAAAGAATCAAGGGCCACTCGTTTATTGAAACATGACTGCAGTTTATCACCATCAAACCACAAACTGTTTCATTTAAATGACAACGTGTAACCAACTCTGGTTCTTGGTTTCTGCAACACTAGTCCAACACTTCTCAGTACTAAAAGCAACCACCAAGCAGGAAACAAAATGAAGACCAACAAACTGTCCACACAAGTCAAGAGACAAGTTTGTAAAGAAGTAAATATCATTGTTGTATTATAAAGAAATATTCCAAATCCCAACCATCCCACAAAGTTGCAATAAACCCATTATTACAAAATGGAAAGATTATGCCCCCAAAGCAAGCCTACCAAAATAAAGGATCACCTATCAAGATTAAAGGCAACAATACATAAACATAAAAAATAACCCTGATGAAGCTGGTCTCGCTTTAGAAATATGAGTATCTGTCTATAGGGCCAAAAAGAGATGGATTCCAAGGAAGATTTGGAAAGAAAAAGTCTTTGCTTAGTAAAAGACTTTTTGGACCTTGTCAAACAGTAAATTGGAGCCTCTCCAAACATGTAGAAAAAGGTTTTGRGGTCACTGTATTTGAAATTTTCGTCCATCAAGAACAAGACCATATCTGAGGCAAATGTCATCTGAAAACACCATCACTACAGTGAAATATGGTGGTGGCAGCATTGTGCTGTGGAAATGTTTTTCCTCTGCAAGGATTGGAAAACATGAACAAAATGTAAATAAAGTCATGAGAGAAACTTGTTTGAGTCTTCCAGAAATTTGATACTGAATCTGTACTAAATTGTTATTTCTTAAAATGTTTTCCTYTGCGTCAACCAAAAAAAACAATGCATCTTTAAATTGGTGATCATGTCTTGAAAATTTACATCAGTTCAGATCCCGTTTACAATCCATACTGTAAGAAAACAAATTAGAGGGAATTCCAAAGGGGTGAATACTTTTGCATCTGTTATGGCAATATTTATTTGGCCCAAGAATGAATGTACTCTGTGGAATGACCAGCTGAGTTTTATTACAACAACAGGAGCACAGAACAACACAGAGCCATCAGACTGTCCCCCTGCTCTCTGCTCCTGTTTCTGCCTCTGAGGCAGTTGAGGCCTCATATATACTGTTTAACAAACACTGTTATGTCATCTTAATAAAGCAAGATTTCATCCTAAGGAAATGCTGGGTCAAGGGAAAACACAAAGATAAACACAAGTGATATCTAAGAATGACTGTTGTTAGCAGATCTTGTTCTGACTTTAATCATTCTATCTGCTCACAAACAGCATGTCATGAAAACCTAGGTCATTAAAACATGTCATGAATTACTGGCTTAAACTTAAAAGTATTGGTTCCATTACACTAGAAATAAAACTGTACAATCCTCTCATTCTGGTTGTTATGYTTGAAGTACCTGGACCTTCTGTTTCCACTCTCCTTGGCCTTCCTGTCCTCTTCTATCAGTGGACCAATCACCTTCTCTGTTGTGTCAATCAGAACAGTGAATGTTGGTTCCACAATAAAGTCGATGAAACCTGCAACCAGAAAGGCCAACAGACGAAAAGCACTGAGAGAACARGAACATGTAGCAACTGATTATAAGATTATAGTCTTTAAACTGTAATAAATCTCATCWTTTTTCATACCGATTTGTGATTGTGCGATCATTGTAGCTTTTCGGTCACAGAGAGGAGAAAAGGGTAGGCCAAGTTCCACTTCTTTATCTCCCTGGAGAGGAATCAATTAAGCATTATTATCAGCTTTTGATTTAAGAAACAGATCGTCAGTGTAGGGGTCACCTCGAGTGAAGAAACAAGATTTACTGCCTCGAAGCAGGCCTCGCACAGGCCTGACGAGAGGACAGGAACTCTGTCACAAACTGAACTCTAGGCCATGACAGGTCATTTCAACCCAGAGGAGAATTTCTCAGTTCTCTTAATCAGATAATGGACAGAACAATCTCTTCTGTTCGTGATTCATTTGTTGTTTAACTAAGAATGTTTATGCATTTGTTAAATCATGATAATGACTGCCACAGGAAATGTGGAACCACTTCTTTTCTTTTATCGTGCCTTAAAGATTAATAATGGTATAAAAATCCCAGAGAATCTGATTACAATGTTTTCATTGTGTTTTTATGTAAATCACTGTTTTTAATTTACTGTGAACATAGTAATATAATTGTGGATTTTTCTTGAGAAAATCTTTCATTTATCTGGACTAACAGAAGGTTCAGACTGAGTAAAACAGAAATGTTAATTAATCATCATAAATGTTTTGCAGTAATTTCTCTTAGAGTCTATCAGAGAAAAGGTAAAGAAATGTTATCATATTCTGTTGCTGGACAACCACAGAATTTAACCTTGACTGGCGCCTGGCTGGCAAGTCTATATTTCTTCCTTTCTCTGACTCATCTTACGCCTGAGGGCGGAACCAATGTCGTCCGTTTGTATTACTAACCACGGACGTCTTTGAGC